CTTGAGAGCCTCGGTGCTCTTCTTGGGAGGGCCGGCGAGATCAATCACCTGAGACGTCGTCAGTGTCGTTTTGCAGCCGCGGAAATCAACGGCACTTACCATGTCGTTCCATCCACCTCCAGCAAAGGACGCCCTGCTCTCGCCAAGATGGCGGAATCCGAATCGCTTGTAATAGCTGACAAGGTACTGCTACATGTCAGCGCGAACATGGCACGGCAGCCAGGGTCAACTTACGTCCTGGCAGATGAGGGCCACACGGTCAGCAACGCCTGAGTTGTTGATCTGCTGGAGATAGGACTTCATCATGAGCTTGCCCAGACCGCAACCCTGGAGCTTGGGCGCGACGGCGAACGAGTGAAGACAGACGGTGCGACCCATGACTTGATGGCCGAGACCCGACGACTTGGACGACTCCTGGTCGCGCCAGTTGACTGGGTAGCTCATGTCGGCATCTGTGACGACGGGTCCGTTGCCAAGGGTCGAGACGACGTGGGCGCAAAGCGCGAGAACGGCGCCGTTGGCGCGGCCCGTCTCGACAGGATTGGCCACTGGCAGAGTCTCCAGGGCAAAGTCCTTGTCCTGGGCTTCGCTGGGGACGATGCTGCAGAAAATGCCGGAGCAGATGTCGGAGCAGGTCGAAAGACGGTACTCGAACTGCAGGGAAGTCAGCATGAACCAAATCTGGAGGAGGAGACCATGTTCAACACCGCTGGCCACACCAACGAGCAACGCAGCAAGGCAAATTGTCTGCAAAGCGCGGAGCAAGCAGCGATGATCACCATCCACCCAGGACGCGCGAGAGAAAGCGGCGCGATCGGAGAAACACCGTGTTGACCCAGAGGAAAAGAAAAAAAAAGTTGACTCACCTTCTCTCTGGTAGCGCGATGGTCCGGGTTGGGGAAAGCAGCGTTCTCGAGGACGACACACGACTCGACACTCGAACTGGTCAAGGGCTGGACGAGGGGGCTGAAATGGACGGGGAAAATCTCCTGGACACGGAGAGAGTCCGTCTGAGGGCGCTTCTGCTTCTGCTCAGAGCGGATGCGTTGGGCCTCAACGTAGCTCTCGTCGCCATCGTCCGAGTCGTCGATGGCGCAGTCAGAGGCCGCGGGGGGCTGGCTGACAGGAGGGTCCTTCTCGGGCATGGTGGCTGATGCGGGCTGATGCGCGATGATGAATGAAGATGGATGGGGTAAGGATGGATGGGGTAAGGATGAGTAGGATCCGGGAGTATGGGATATGGAGAATGGGAGGAGGGGTGTTGGAAGTTGGGAGGTTGTTGGTTACACAAGAGAGAGAAAGAGAGAGACTGGAGCTTTTCTGGGAAATATTTCCTGGGTTGCAAACACCAGAAACAATTGGCAACAAGGCGGGGAGCAAGCCGAGAACAGAGAGGCCCAAGAAGGCAAGTGCTACACTCAAACGGAGAGCACTGGCCGGCCAGGGCGGGTCGGACACGGAGGGCACACAACAGGCTGCCGGCCGTGGGACTCGGGGCTGACGTTAGGGGGCGGGGATGGGATGACGGAGCCTAACACAGAGGGTGCCGGCCGGGTGCCGATGAGGTGAGCCGATCAAGGCCTGGAATCCGGGGGACAGGCGCCGAGTGGCAGTGAGAGAAGACTAAGAAGGGTCACTGAACGTTGGAGGGGCACAATGCACCGACAGTGTGAGACAGTGAAGAAGATGGCAACGGCAGTGGTGGGAGCTGCAAGCTGCAAAAGTCAAGTAGGTAAGCTGCTTCAAAGAAAACAGGAGACTGTCAAACAGAAGGGCATACAGCTGGTAAAAGACTTGATTGGATTTGCCTGGGCTGGGCGGGCAAACAAGAGAATTGGAGTTGGATGACCTGCCATTGCCAGCACCTCCTCCAGCCATTGGGCGGCCGCTCACTCACTGGTACCTGGGCTGGTAGGATGAGGTGTTTGTCGCGTGACCGACCTACCCGCAGTGGCACAGTTGTGGCCTGTTCAGTCCCCCTGGATGCTCAAAGGCCGTCTGCCCAGGCTCCATCTTTATTTCCCACTCTTTGCATGCGAATGCTAGAGTTGCGACGTTGACGAATAACGCTGCTTGTGATGCATCTCAGGTCTGTGAGATTAGGTGCAAGAAAGGGCCCTCTTTGTACAGATGGCGACGCGGGTAACAATGGATACCTGTCCGACCTCTGTGCTTGTTCAGCTCACCCTGCTGATAAGGGACGGCCTGAAGCTGCTAATTGAGGCCCTGAAGCTGGCTTGCTGGCTGCCCAGGATCAAGGGAAACAAACTGAGGTGCCACGCCAGCTTGGGAGGTACCTCTACCTAGGTACCCCACCAAACATTGGCTCTGGCGGCTTGACCTGAATGCCTGCCAGGTGCGAGAGGCCTTTGGAGCAGGGAGGCTGTGGGAGATGTACTGGGCGTTTCGATCCTCAAATGGTTGAGCCGTAATCATGACTTTGGGTTGATCGAAATGGTATGCAAAAAAATCAAGAACCAACGGAGGCCGCCCTCGCTAGAATGGCCGCGGAAAAAAAAGCAACATTAAAAAAAGGGTGCAGGATTTGGCGATGCTATCCGTACTTGTTGGTGAGTAAGTGTGTTGTCAGGTCTTGGCATGCTTGTTGCTCCTTTGCCATGCGCCTGGCTGGAGCATTTTGCTTTGCATCGTGAACATGTCCCCACCACCACAAGTGCCAAGGTAGAGCCTACTTTGCAGTAACACTGCTGGGCGAGTCAATCAACCTGAAAAGGGATCTATCTCTCCCGTGTCGACGGCCCGTGAGAACGAGCCGGACAAACCAGTTTGGTCAACACTGTCAACTATGAGGAGAAGCCCTCGTCCGGCGGAAAATCTTCCTGCTCTGTTGCTCAAGCTGGCCGGGTGACAGCTGCAGGAGGTGACTGAAACGGATGGAGGTGCAGCATCGACATTTGCTAGGTGTCCCGGTCCCGCGATCCAGAGTTGCATCGCCCCCGCCGCGCTTCTGCAGATGCATCACGCTCGAATAGGACGGCAGCTGAGGCACTTTTGAGTCTTGTAGCAAAGTACATTTGGTGTTGGTTGGAGCGAGGCATCAATGAGGCTAGCCAGAGACGTTGTCGGCCAGTGCAAACAGCACCATCGACCGGCAAGCAAACGGCACCCGGCCTGAGAAGTTGGCCGGAAGCCCGGGTCCTGCCCAACCTCACCAGCGTCCGAGCATGTCTGTGCAGTGCCGACGTCCGCCGGCGCAGACGCCGCGGTCTGTCTGACTCGACCGGAAGGTGTCATCATCCAGCGTCGGAGTTATCGAGACACGATGATCTCTGTCTCGAGTACTTTCTCTCGTCTTTTTGCTGACGATAGCCCAGCGCCTCGATTTTGCAACCCGCATGATGTCGCTGAAATCGGTTGGTCCTCGACGGGCGCCTCATCATGAAGAATTTGCCGTGCGCCGAAGCGAGCGGGTGGGATTGACTGGATCTCCCGAGTCGAACCGGGATATCGAGGGCTGGGGATATTCGTCGTTCGGGATCTTCGTCATTATTGCACAGAAACCCACCAAAGCAGTGGCAGAGGATGTCGCCGGCGGCGTTCGATTGGCGGCTTGGGGCAACAGACCTATCAACTTGCATAGTTGAGGTAAGCTCCAGTGTAAAAATATCCATCGCTTGTGTGGTGAGTAAGGTGTCGGGTACCTCGTCTAAGGAGGGATGGTGTGCAAGGGTTTGTTGCTCGTCAGTTGCCTTGTTTGACTTGCGCAGATGTGCCGGTCATGTAAACGGGAGGTAACTGGGCGGACGGCTTTCGCACCTGCAGATACTCTGACGGTACCTCGAGCGCGGCTTAGGTAACGATTAGCTCGTGGGGCTGATGTGCTCGGGAGAGGCACCTGAGAAATGGGAGAAATAGGTCGGGTGACGGTATTGCGATTGCGCGTTGCTGTTTCGTTGCCCGAGGCATCTGGCTGTTCCCTGGTATCAGAGTCCGGCCACAGTCTCTTTACCAATGTAACTGTTGACATGACAGTGAGCTGCCCGGGGAAGCAGGGCATGCAGACAGCTTACTTGTGGTACAAGCAGCGTGAAAAGAAAGTACCATGCTGACGCACAGGTTCAACGCCCTTCCATCAGCTTCCTCGTCGGCTTGGCCAGTGCTTCCCGTGCTGTACTGCATCGAATGAAGGGTAAGGTAGTGCGAGCTTGCCGCCCCAGCTCCATTGCCGCAAACGGGGAAACGGGGCAACGTACAAAGTAGACGACGGCCAGGGCCAGGGTGCCTCTCGTCGCCGCGGTGTCTCTACAATCGTGTTTTAGGGGTCGCCCAGCGCCCACCTTCCTGACGAAACACTTGGTTGGTACCTGAGTGGCCGAGCTCTTTACGTACCCCGACCTCACCTCGTCTGCCCGCCCTCCCTTACGTCGAGATCCCTACCTTGACCACATTGACGTTTCTCTCTGCTACCTACCTTTTTTCTGACGACGGCAAACACCCAATCACCAGAAGACGCACCACAAGTCCGCGCCCAATCGAAAACTTTTCGCAAGCTCTCTATTTTCCAGCCTTCTTCTTCTTCGTTCAAAGACGTCTGCTTTTTCCATAAGACGTCACCACCGTGCTGCCTGGATTCCCGCCGCTGCCCCTCCAAAACACCCCTCATCAACCCTCCACCGCAGCTCCGGTGTGAACCTGAAGTACCTAGAACTTCGCATTCGCAACCGTGAAACTCGACTGGCTCGTGACGACAGCTAGCCTTACGTTGCCCGCCAACTCTAACAGAAGCCTCGGGCTGCTTGCCTCCTGCTGCTCACCGCCGCTACCTAGTCTTCCAACTTACCTTTCACTTCCACCCGGGCACCAAAAACTACACACCTGACATCGCGGGAAACAAACAAAGCCCATCATGTAAGCTCGCTACATGTGCGAAACATTCTTGACTCTCGACTGACAGCTTCGGTGACAGGCGCATCACACTAAGCATAACGAATCCCGAGGTCGAAGACCAAGACCTTCTCACCCTCGAGATCTTTCCCGACATGCCCGTCTCCACCCTCCGCGAAGCCATCCAAGCCGAGACACAGATTCTGCCCACCTCTCAGCACCTCTACCACAACGGCCGTCTGATTCAGGATGACAACAGCACGATGGAGCAGCTGCAGATTGCCGACGGTGAAATGTTGGCGTTGCACGTGAGAGATATGCGAGGAAGCACCGGTGTGCCCGACCAAGGCAGGAGAGGACAAGGACAGCAGCAGCGTCGACGACCCGGCGGCCAAGACCCCGAGCTCATCCGCCTCCAGATCCTTGGCGACCCCAACCTGCGTGCGGAAGCTACCCGTCAGCAGCCTCAGCTCGCCGCCGCCCTCGAAGACCCCGCACGCTTCGCACAGCTGTTCAACGATAGTTACGACCGGGAGCAACGCGAACGCGAGGAGAGGCAGAGGGAGATTGCACGCCTGAACGAGGACCCGTTCGACATTGAGGCGCAGGCCAAGATTGAGGAGATGATTCGCCAAGAGAGGGTAATGGAGAACCTGCAAAACGCCATGGAGCACAATCCTGAAGGTAAGTTAAGGATTCAGTCAAGACAAGGGGCTTGCATCAGCTAACGTTGTTCAGTCTTTGGGAGGGTCCACATGCTGTATGTGGATGTCGAGGTCAACGGCCACAGGGTGAAGGCATTGGTCGACTCCGGAGCCCAGGCCACCATCATGTCGCCGGCGTGCGCGGAAGCGTGTGGTATCATGCGTCTTGTGGACAAGCGCTTCGCAGGAGTGGCTCGTGGAGTCGGCACGGCCAACATCATCGGCCGCGTGCACTCTGCCCAGATCAAGGTCGGAACGCTGTTCCTGCCCTGCAGCTTCACCGTCATGGAGGGCAAGCAGGTGGAACTTCTGCTCGGCCTCGACATGCTCAAGCGCTACCAGGCCAGCATCGACCTCGCAAAGGACAAGCTCATCATTCAAGGCGAGGAGGTGCCCTTCCTAGGCGAGGCGGAGATCCCGAAGGAGAGTGAGGAGGCACTCGAGGAAGAACCAAGACTACCCGGTCCTGCTGGCACAACCATTGGCCAACGGTCTGGCGTTGTAAGCGGCCCGGCCGGTGGTGGCGCCTCCGCTCCTCAACCTCCTGCTCAACAGGGTGGCCCAGCGCCGGCGCAGTCTGCCGCCCCTACCTTCCCCGAGGAGCACATTTCTCAGCTCATGGCCCTGGGCTTTCCGAGAGAGGCAGCCGTCAACGCATTGCAGGCCACAGGTGGCAATGTCGAATTTGCCGCGGGCCTCCTGTTTGGAGCATAGACTGGCCAGGCGTATACGGGAAACGGTCGGGCTGAGCAGGACCTGCATGAGAAGCGCGTGGCCAACAAATAGGACAACGGACATCACGGGGTTGGGTACAATACAATAACTAGAGGCGTCATGTGTTTTTCTCGCCCAGTGCGACACGGGCAGCTTGTCCTGGCCCAGGTGTTTGTAAACCAACCAAGTCAACATGTTGTATTTCAGAGGATAGTCCCTGAGCGGTAAATGCCCACGGAAATTGCAGCACCTGTGCCGTTTCACTGCCGATGCTCTCGTGAGAAGTCTTTTGCATGTTTCCCTAAGTACAATTACGTGATGAACCCTTTCTCCCCTGTGTGATATCCCATATTTCAGTCTTCCGAAGATGCACAACTTTTGTGTAACCGTACAAAACTCCAGCCACGAGGATATTCTCACCTAATCTTGTAAACACAAGGCTTCAAGATGGAAGTCTCATCAGCATTGTCCTCCTCCGTATTCCATACGAATCGCTTCTGTTTCTTCTCCTTCTCCACGAAACCTGCGGCCTTGGCGGCGGCAAGACCCTTGCCCTTGGTAGGCACGGCGCCCTTGATGAAGTGCATCTTGACGAACATCTTGTTGGACAGGTCCACGGCGCCCTTGTTGCCCTCGCCCTCGCCACGCAGCACGAAGCCGCGCTTTCGCAGGGCCTCGATGAAGGCCGAGACATCCGTCTCGCCGCGGCGGTCTTCATGGCCGTCAACCTCGACGGCGAGGGCCGTGCGGTCCGCCTCCGTCTCCGCCTCGGCTTTGGCGGCCTTGCCCTTCTTCTCCGCGGCGGCTTGCTTCCTGCGGTTGCCGACGCTGTGGGAGACGACGGCATTCTTGGACTTGACGGGCCCGAAGCGGGACTTGATCTCCGCGATCCACAGCTCGCCCTTCCAGTGGAGGATGCGGTACGCCTCTTCGATGAAGTCGATCCAGTTCGTCCCCATGAGGGCGAGACAGAAGATGGCGATGTCGACCGAGCCGTCTTCCAGAGGGAGGTTAGCAATGTCGGCCTTGGTGACGAACTTGGCGGGGGAGTGCAGGTCGTAGCTCTTGATCTGGAGACGGAGCTTCTGAGACTCCGAGGCCAGCGTCGAGGCGAGGCGGGCGTCGCCACAGCCCAGGTCGGCAATGATGCAGGTGCCGTCCGTACGGGGGAGCGGCTGAGGCCCGTTCGGGTTCTTGGGGGGCATGCCGCGCGGCGGGAACCGCTGCTTCGCCCGCAGCTTGATGTCGCGGATGTAGCCGTCGACGGGGTTCTCGGGCCACACCTCGACCTGTCGGCGGAAGCCCTCGTGGTACTCGGAGAACATGTCGGGGGAGTCTTCAAAGAGCTGGTAGGCCTCGGCGGAGGGGCGGGTGTACAGCGTCTCGTTGAGATGGCGGAAGCGGGCGGAGATGAGCTTCTGTCTCATGGCGGCCTGGAGGGGGGTGAGTTTTGCGGGCGCCGGAGGCACGGGAGGGACAGACGCAGCGATGGCTGCTGCGGCATCCTTTGTCCTTTTCTTCTTCTCGTCTTTGCTGGGTGTCTCTGTCGACTGCTCGTCGACATCGTCTTGCTTCTCAACCTTGTCCTTCTTGTCCTTCTTCTGCTTCTTCTCCTTCTTGTCGGGCCTAGGCGTGCTGCCCTCCTCTGCCACCTCCTCTTCAGGTTTTGAGTCCTTCTCCTTCTTCTGCTTCTTGCTGGGCTTGGCCGCATCCGGCGCATCCTCGCCGGCCGTGGACGCTCTGCGCTCCTTCTTCTTGGGAGTCTCCTCGCCGCCCTCGCTCTTCCTGCTGCGCTTGCCCTCCGTCTTCTTTCCCTCAATCACATTTTGGTAGAGGTCGGCAAAGTTGGACTCCGTGACCTTTTCGTCCTTGTTGTTCCTCTTGCGCTTGCGCGTCTTGTTCCTCGCGGGGCCGTCCTTCTGGCCGCCAGGCGTTTCCGATTTGAGGGCGTCGGCCGCGACGGACCACCCTGGAACTGCGAACATGTTTAGGTTGACTTTGAGGTGTCAATGGCTGGTGCTGGAATGAGATTCGCAGACGCGGGATGAAAATGGACGTTGTTGTGAATGAAGCGTCGCTCAAAGCTCAGTCTCACGCAGCGGCTCATTCAGTCTTGGTCGACGAAGTTTTTTTTTTTTCTCCTTCCCATCGTTATCACACCCCTGGACGCTGATCGGCGCCAGGATGGGAGGAGCAAGGTGGGTGGACCGTGCACACCGCCGAGCTTTTGGCACGCAGTTGCATCGTCTGACTGTAAGCCAACTTCCCCATCACCACTTTTCCGTCTTTGGGCCGACTTCTGTACGGATTTGCCTTTCAAAACTTAGCACTAAACCCACCCATTTGGTTTCCTCATGAGAGGCGTTTCTTGTGGAACGATTTGCGAGCCTGTCAGCGCCGCTATGAAGATGTGCATCTACCCAACGTTGGCGCCACTTCCATGAAAACGGCTTTGCGCCAGTGAGATGCAAATCATCTGTTTAGCACCAACGGCGGCAAGACCTGCGACATCCTTCACTACCCCAGATCGTCTTGGCATCATGAATGCTGCCACCCGTCACCCTGGTGGGAATGCCCCTTTGCACCTACTGACATGCTCGAGTTGGACAAGGCCAAGTGCATTCTCTGGACCCTGAGATGGCCTCCAGTCGACTTCCGCCCGTCCGCCCGCTCCCTTCCGCCAGAAACTGGAGGAACGCTCTACTGGGAAGCCAGGCCGGCTCACCACAACCACCCTGCCAGGTCTTCCGAGATCTGCACGGTGGCTCATCGGATTGGTCCTGATCTTTCGGCCCTGCATCGGGTCCTGGGATCACGGCGTTTCAGCTTACTTTTCCAGCTTGCAACGACGCCAGTAATAGCAAAGGAATTGTTGTCCCAGGAAAAAGACAAATAGCTCGCCCAATGGGGAAGCCATGATTACCTCTGCAATCTCCATAATTCTCCCGCATGCGACGGACCAGACGGAAACATCCAGACGCGTGCGGGAGCGACCCCGAGAAGCCACTGAGAACGGGGAGCCGCAACCTGGGCCCCACGAGTCCGAGCCTCGTTACCTACGGCTGCCTTGAGCCGAACAAACGTCCGACATAGGCAACTTTGCCATGGCGTCTGTTAAGCCAGCTCGAAGGGGAAGGTCTCCTGTCAAACAGGTTGCTGGCTGCCCTAAGCTCATGACAGCAGGCCGGGGACGGATGGCTTGTCCTCCGTCCTTTGGGTCGCCGCCAGTCTATTAAAGTTAGGGCCGTTGATAGCTCTCCAGGCAGCTAGTCTCCAGCCTGTGATGATGGTTCCCCTGGTTTAAACACCGAAACATTGCTCCCTCGGATGCCGCCAGGCATGCGGCCCCGTTGTAACCGCCTGCGCATTCTCACCGGAGACCAGAAGATTCTGCAAAGTTTGGACGGCGACAGCGACCCACCGGTGGGTTGTTCGGCGGACAGTCGGTTCAATTCTCAAAAGACTCCGACTTGTGGTCCGAAAAACGGGTACGGCGCATTAACCGGCCTTATGGAGTACCGCTATGTTTGGCGTTGATAGCGTGGGCACAGAGACAGGGACCTGGGGAATGGCAACAACCCAACACGGGCGGCAGCATTCGGGGATGAACGGCCTTCCAGAGCCGTTGGTCTCGGGAGCCAAGACAAGACATCAAAGAGACGAGACAGTTCAGAGAACCTTGAGGCTGGAAACGCTCACCAAAGAGACAGAAATAGGGCAACCGGCACCGTGGCACAAGGCGCAGTACAGTCTCTGTGCCGCAATGTGCCAGATGCCTTTGTTTGGCAGCCCGGCTTGCTTCATTGCCACGATTCGCATCTGGCTATTTCAGGATCGTCCTCGACGGCCAGTCTTCAACGTCACGGCACTCATTGCTCTCTCGAAAAAGGAGAGAGCTCCCTGCCCCGACTCAACTACTGGCATGCGGGAAGGCTACCTGCATACTTAGCCTGTGGCGGCAGCCAGTATCGACCTCTGCTCAGATCAGATACAGTAAACATCCGGGAAAAGCTGCCAAGGTGACCCTGCGCGTCGAGGAGGACGAGAAGGCACAAGGCGATCGATGATGGGCGGGAACCGATTGTGACCAGTTGCAGTTGTTCAAGAAGGAAAGAGGGCGGGCGGAGGTGGTCCGCGGGGATCGGCGTGCCTCCTCCTGTTCGACAACGAGCACGTTTGTGTTGCACCGTATGCCAGCCGACTGTGTACTGCGGCCAGTCGCCGGTGACACCGTCCATGAGGTCGGAAACGCAACGATTGGCCGAAGCTGATGTTCGGATGCTTGGTGGCTAGAATGGGGGGGATGGCGAGATCCCAGCGGCACATCGCCGTTCATCTCAATCAGTCCATCGGCCTGCCAGACTTGGAATGCATTCACCTAAGTTGGGACGTCGTGGCAAGAGAGACGGGTTGAAAGGCTTGTCTCGTCAATTCTCATACTGTCCCAACGGCGGCAGGAAGGGCTGTCAAGCCATTGAGAGCCTCCACTACCTAGCAGACGGCCTTCGCGAGGCCCCGTCGGCGTCGGGTTGTTCTTTCTTAGCATGCCGCTTTCTCGGCACATGGCAAGTTGCCTAAAACTAGTGGCAGAAATGCATCCCACCTTGGAACGCCACCGGCGCATATCTCACTTTTGGGCTTGATGGCCACCAACGGACGATCTGGATACCCCATCGATGACGAACACCCCCGGCCCTGCTGAAGATTTTGAACATCACGAGGGTTTCAATACATCTTCAATAGTAGCGACGAGCGACGGGCAACGGGCAACGGGCAGTCACGGATGCCGCGTCCCCGTAGGACTTCGCCGTCGACCTAGTCGACGCTTTTCGCCGGATGTCGTCTTGGTCATTGCTGACCCCATAGGGCAGACGAGGGGCAACAGGCTGGACCCTGACGGACGGGGAGAGTCCAGACCTCCAAAGACCTCGGATGAAATAGCGTTCGGCTTCTCTCTCTGGGCCCCATGTTGCCTGCGACGTTGGCGGTGCCCAGGGCGCGACGACTGCGAGATGGTTCATGCCACCACGAAAGCTCAAGATACCCATGGCCAGATTGTCGGGTATGCGAGGACAAAGTCTGTTGAGCGTTGCCGTTGGGATTTGCAGCTTGGCGGGTTGCCTAACCCAACCTCCAATCTCCGCCGCGCTTCAATCAAATTTGCAGTAGTTGCCCTACCGGGACGGTACCGGATTGGATTGCTTCACCGCAACAACGACGATGCAGGCCGCACGATGCACAGCACAGCGTAGTGTACGCGCAGAAAAGTTTCTTTCCTCGTCAGACCATGCGTACATGAGTAGCTCGGCTTAGCTCTGCTAGACCCGTGGGACCACAACACCACAGGAAGCAGCTTTTTGCTTTCGAGAAGGAGAAGAGACGATGATTCAGTCAGCTCGTCCTATTGCCGTGCGCCATTCCACTGAGCCCTGTCACTCGGGACATGACAGACCCCTGAAAGAAGGGGCCCCGGTCCGCCCCTCAGTTCAGTGGCAGCCGAGGCCCTAAACGGCCTAATCCTCGCAGCCCAGCGGCGCCATCGCGCGAAAACATGGCAGGCTCACGACGGAGCTAGAACCCTGGACGAGCCTTACCAACCACTGTATGTACTGCATAGTACCTACCCACCTACCTACTTACGGCGGCATGTATGCATTATTACTGCCCGCGGGAGGGGAAGAGCAGACACAGCAGACGCAGCAGACACATTGAGATGGATTTCGGGGCGACTGGGGGAGACGTCTTTGACACGGAACCTACCTGGGAATCATTGAGTGGGCCATCTTAGCGCGCTGCTTTATCACGCAGCAGCACGTATCACACCCACTCGTGTTGCTTCCGCAAGCCACCCCAATACGCCGTATGTGTGTTTTCTCCCTCCCGTCGTCTTGCCGCACCTCCTACATACATGCCCATACTGGACCAAGAATAGCCAGGGTCGGGCAGCCAACTGCGTGCGGTGGACGGTCCAATTCAAGACCTTGAGCCAAAAGGTGAGTAGGCAGTGATTAGAGAGTCCCATGTTTTCACTCTGCTGTTAGTGTTTGTTGTCTTGCTCGTACTTGTCACGTCCCTGGCCCCCCTCGAGCCCGAGTCTCTCAGAGACAACTCCAATTGTCCTGCAATGCTGTCTCTCACCCTCGTCCCCATCACCGGCAGCATCGTCCATGGCTTTGTCTGCCTTGCCGGTCATGCACGATTAATGACCCCTACCTGAATCATCTGCATCCCCGTCCTCCCATTCGTCTGGGCCGGCTCTCGTGTCTGGTTTGGTTCGTCCCGATCTCCCAAGTTTCCAACCTCCATCTTCCTGTCACCACCCCCCGGTCCCTCCGGCCCGGCCTCTTCTTAGTCTTCTCGCCGCTTGGCACCTCCCTCGCTCTACCTTGTCTCCGTTGTTTGTGCATCTGCCTCTCCACGCCGCCTTTCTTCACCTTGCTTGATACCCTGTTACAGTACATTTGCCTGCCTTGGAGCTACCTTAATCTACCTACCCTTCTTCCCCTCCCCCCGTCTTCTCTATTCCAGAGTGGGAAAGGTCACCAGTCCCTCGTGTCGTGAGAGACACATCTCCAACTGCTGCAGACATCCTTACACCCCCGTCCTACCCCACGAGTCCATGCGTCCTGTCCAACCCGTTCATGACAACCTATTCGGCGTAGACAAAGTCACACTGGCTTGTTTCACTTCCTTCCACCGTCTATGGCTGCTTAATAAAAAGCATCTCACTCCAGAGCGCCCGACTTGCTTCCTCTATCTTTCCACCCTCGAACCCCGTCCCGTTGCCCGCGCACAAAGGCGGAAGTTAACCCACCTTGTCTCGCTGCGCTGCTGCCACTCTTGGACGCTTGTGGCCCGTTGAAGACGCCGCCTCTTGACTAAACGCCTGCCCAGAAATCACAGCTTTTGCCCACCCTCCCTCACCGTAACCGACGCGCCGAACATCGAACGGCACTGCTCTGAGAGTAGTAGTAGTACTCTCTGTGCCTTGGGCGAGCCACACGATCTCTTGTGTGTGCAAGTTTGCGGGAACTAGACGAGACCATCTGTTGTCGACAGGACCCAGTGGATGGAGATTTGAGTCGGGTCACGGAGCTTCACTCACAACAAGACAGCATCTACTAGGATGGACACGGCCGATGGGGCGCCCGACGGCGGCGACAAGTCCCCGACCAAGGCCTCGGGCAACAACGATGAGAATGACAACGATGACCAGAACCGCAAAAGAGCGAACATCAGAAAGAGGACCAAGACCGGTTGCCTGAGTACGTGCCCGCCTTCTTCAGCCAGATTCAACACCAAGGGATGTCTCGTCTCTAGACCGAATTGCTAACATGACCAAAAGCATGTCGAAAACGACGCATCAAGTGCGATGAGGGAAGGCCCATCTGCAACAACTGCATCAAGTCCAAAAGACACTGCGAGGGTTACAACCAGCGAGTCATCTTCAAAGACCCAATCGGCGCATTCAACCTGAACGGAGTCTACGGCCCCGTGGTCTACCCTCCCGAGGCGTCAAATCCCCCTTTCCATCAGCTGTCCAACCCGCCGCCGAAGTCATCCAATGCGCCTCCCCTGGCACCAATAGCTCCCAAGCCGCCACAGAACATGGACTATGGCGGCCAGCCGATGCATCACCAGTATGGCCAGGGCTTCCCAGGCCCATCTTCGGGTCATCACCCATCTTCCTCTCCATTCGACTTCAACCAGTATGCCTTTGGGCCGCCGCAGATACCCCCGCAAATGCCCCCGACGCCCTCATTGACATCGCCCATCAGCCCAGACCAATTCCAGGGACCGTTCGGCGGAGCCCAGAGCACCTTTGTCAGTCCAAATACCGACAACGGCTCGTTTGCGTACGTACCCCGGGAAGCATGGCAAGGACAGCCTTCAAATCATGTACGGGTGGAAGAGATTCGACACTACCCCAACGACCCTCTGCGGCGAGAAGACGTGGTGGAGGACCCCGATGTCCAGTTCTTCTTCAACGACGACGACGACGCATCCATGGGCGATTCGGACGACGGCTTCGAGGACTTGATGGGTGAGGAGAGCGCCTACGGACAACTGGTCCAGGCCCGTTCGGACGGTCCCTGGGACGGCTTCGGCACCGAGGTCAGAAAGTTCTCCGCCTTTGCGGAGGAGACGATTCTCACGTCGTACATCCCGACCCCGAACAACTCACCGCTCAACGACGAGCGGACGGCAGCCCTGTTCTGGCACTTTATCAATGTCACGGGCCCCAGCATGTCCCTGTATGAGAGGCATCCGTTTGACCACACGAAACTGATGAACAACTTTTCTGTGCCAAAGGCCGGCCATAACTTGTGGACCTGTAAGTGATTCCATGCCTCTACCGGGCTGGACACGATTAACCATCCGCAGACACGTTCCCCATCCTGTCGTTCAACCACCCGGCACTCCTCCAAGCAATGCTTGCCCTGGGCGCTTTACAGATAGCCAAACTGCAGCAGATCCCGCCGACGGCGGCCATGAAACACTATCACCTCTCCATTCGCAGGATCGCAAAGAACGTGCGAACAGTAAAGAGGAGGACGTCACCAGCCACGCTCGCAGCCACCCTGCTGTTGGGGTACTTTGAAGTGTGGAATTCGGACCATTCCAAGTGGTGCAATCACCTGTTTGGAGCCAGGCTGCTGATCAAGGAGATACCTTTTCGGGAGATGACGAGGAACATACTGCCGCTGAAGCGAGCCAGACGGGCGCTGTTCCAAGAAAGCCAGAACCAGCCGTTCGACCCCTTTTACATGGGCCACGACAACACGCACATGATGAACCATGATCTAGACGATTTGGACCTTGGCCTACTGAGTCGATTAACGAACCAACACGTGTCGTACGAGGACGATGCAGCAGCCTCGATCGGCAATTACTACACTGACCGCGATATCGAACATTACGAGCATTTGAGGGATCTGTATTGGTGGTACTGCAAGATGGACGTCTATCAAAGCATGCTCGGTGGTGGGAAGCCATTGTAAGTGTTTTTCTCGCGGATGCATATGACGCCAAACGCTGACGGATTTTCAGTATGGACTACCAGCACTGGACGCAATGTCCGCCCCGAGCCCCGATGGGCCGACTGGAGGCCATGTAAGTCACCCTCTAGGTGCAGATAGCATTGAACATGTGCTGACTCTGGTAGTTACGGAACGTATGACCACTTGATGCTCCTTCTTGGTCGCCTGTGCAGTTTCGCTTCCAAGGACCTCGCTCGAAAGAAGAAGTCGTTCAAGGGGTTCGGGCCTCCGGGTGGCCCCCCGGGCGGTCGTCCAGGGGTTCCCACCGGCGGCCCTCCCGGTGCGCCGCCAGGACGGGGAGGGCCGCCCAATGCGTCCGGGCCACCGGGAGGAGGAGGCCAGGAGTGGGGCCCACCGGGGATGGCAACCGGTATGCCCGGAGGCGGGCCGCCCCCTGGCATGATGGGAGGGATGCCCGGTGGGCCGCCCGGGGGTCCGCCGCCGGGCATGAGAGGCCACCCAGGAGGGCCGGGCGGTCAGATGGGAGCGCCTCCTGGGGCCGGGTCACCGCCCATGTTCCCGGGCATGCTGCCGAATCTCCAAAAGGTGAGACTGCCCATGGGCTTCAGCCCTCCGAGAGACGACTCGCCGCCTCCGCCGGAGATGCCAGAAGACCTCGACTCCGACGTTGCCATGGAGGCGGCGATGCGTGAGTGGGAAGGCCTTAGGGAGGCGTTTGAGATCCTCCGATCCCAGTTTGGGCCCGAGTTCCAGGCCCTGGGCGCCGAGTACGCAGACCACAGGGACTCGCCCTTTGGGCCGACGCTGCAGTACCGCACCTTTTCCGTGGCCGGCATCTGGATGAACTACTACATGGGCCTGATCCATCTGTACCGCGCACACCCGCGGATGCCGCCGGCCGCCATGATTGCCGCGGGCATCCAGGCGCAGCATACCGAGAAGTTTGCCATCGAGATTGGGCGGATCGCGGCGGGGCTGACGGACGACGTCTCCAACGCCACCGAGATCAGCACCTTGGTCGGGGCGGCGCTCATCGAGAGTGCCTTCTGTCTCTTTGTCGGCGCTATCCAGGTAATACATTCACGTGGCCTCACCGCCCTTTTACCCGCCCGGAGATCATCCTCGCTAACACGGTGTACAGTACAGAGACGACGCCCAGCGTCACTGGATCGTCAGGCGGATGCACGACGTAGCACGTCTCACAGGCTGGCAATCTGCGCGACAAATCGCCGAGGGCTGCGAGTCTGGCTGGAAGAAGGCCGCGGCTATGGGACGGGGTCCGCCGTACACAAGAGACCCCACGCTCCAGACCGTCGTGCCCCCCTCGGTGTGGTTGAACCCGAGGAGGATTGGCGCCCGGCTGGAGCTGCTGGACGGAGACGACAAGGTGCTCGTCGTCGCCAAGACGGAGCGGGCGCATTACGCCCTGGGGCTACTCAGCGTCGAGCAGGAGCTGGAGAGGCTCGACATCAAGGAGGGATGAGAGAAAGCCCTTCTGGGCGATGGATGGGTCGTGTACGATGTGTAGATCAGGGCTTCCAACCTTTTCGAGTAGGTTTAGTTTTAGATCAATACGACGGGTCCATTCAACGTCACCTCCTGAGATCCTCATCACGTTTGAGTACGCTATTGATACACGGTGGGAAATCGTCTAGACGTCAGGTTCCTGATTCGTGACCGGTGTGCCTGGGTAAGTATCTTTTGGGGTTCTCTCCCTTCCAGAAAACGTCTTTTTCACCCGCCCAGCCTCATGATTCTCTATTACGCTCACCCTAGCCCATGCTCTCGTCTAGTTGGCAGGGAGTCGCTCCACGACCGCGGCCATCTCCTCATCCGTGTATATTCTGAAGCCCTTCTCCTTCGTTACGCTCGCCAACTGCACGTTTTTCGAATCCAACTTCTCCTCCATAACCTGCTTCAGCGTCTTGAGCACCAGTGTCTCGGCGTCGGTAATCGTCAGAGACTGGAGAGCATGTTAGACATGGTTCAAACACATAGCCGCGGAGGGGGTCTCACCTTGTGGTACTCGTTCTGCAGCTCAGCCTGAGCGCCCTCGGAGCCGGAACCGATGGCCTTGGCGTCGTAACGGTAAAAGGTGCCGCTGGGCTCGGCGTGGAAGAGCTGGGGGCCGTCCTCGTCGTAGCCGGCGATCAGGAGGGCGACACCAAAGGGGCGGGACATGATGGTCTCCTCGCCCTCGGCACCCTCACCGAAGCGGAGGGCCAGGTCGCAAATGGCCTGGGTGCACGACTCGACGCGGAGGGGCTCGTTGTAGTTGAAGGCGTGGGACTGGGACTCGACGCGGGCGTGCTCGACCATGGAACGGGCATCGGCCTGCAGACCGCTCATAGCGCATCCGATGTGGCGGTCGATCTCGACAATCTTCTCGACGGAGGAGGTCTCCAGGAGGGTCGAGGTTACGCGCTTCTCGACACCGAGGACGACACCCTCGGAGGTGGCAACGCCGATGGCCGTGGAGCCGAGCTTGATGGCCTCGAGGGAGTATTCGACTTGGAAGAGGCGACCTTCGGGGGAGAAGGTGTTGATTCCTCGATCTGTTGTTGACGGGTTGTCAGAGGAGCTCTTCTCGAAGACAGGGAAGGAGGGCAGTAGGCTTACCGTATTCAGATCTTGCCATAAACATCTTGGCGGTGTTCTGTGTGTCAAATTGCTGAAGAGAGAAGGTGGTGAATCTCTTCCAGAGGAATTGATCGATGTGTTCAATTCCTGAGCGTTGCGGGCGTGGGTGATGCGGTTGCGGGATGCTGGGGTGGTGATGGTGGTGGTGGATGGAGGGGAGCTCGTGGTGCAGGTGAGGTAACCAAACGGTGACGGTGGAAGGCTGAAGCACAGTCAGGTCGTTAGGCAAGCACCAGCCTACGCAGCCGCAAGCTTGGGGGGGCTCCAGCAGCGGAAGCAGTAGCACCACCACCACCATCAGCAGGACTACGTACCTGGCCCGGACCTTAGCGCAGCTTGCTCCTGGCCCCTGTTCGTCTGCCCAAAGCTTCTGATTGGCTGGGGCGACAAGATCCCCTCCAACAGCTGCCCGCTGTCCCGTCCCCGGAATATTTCAGGGGCCAGGCGAGCCCCGGGGCCGGGGTCAACAACACGCGAGGATTTTCCGAGCAGACGCGCCTGGGCTAATAGGCACTTTACTGTGTAACCCAGCCCAACCTGCCCGCCGCTTAGACCTGGAGAGTGCGACTCTGCAAATAGAGGGGTACGACTTGACGAACAAAGAGGGACTGGCAAGGAATAAAGGTGCACACCCTCCAAGACACGGCCGCAGACGAGACGAACGCCCAATCGAGAGGACCATCACATCAAGAAAACAACGCCCCAAAGACGCACTATACCCCCACCAATGCAGTCGGCGACATGTCGTCTGGCACGCGCCGCGCGAACGGCACAGCCTCTGCAGCTGCGGACCACGAACGACTTTCGAGGGCGTCACGCATGAACACTGCGGCGAACGGGGGAGGCAGCGGCAGCGGCAGCGCCCACGCGAGCTTCAGGAGCGAACGCAGCGAGCGGAGCGATGCGCGGCAGCAGCAGAGGGAACGGGAGCGCGAGAGGGAACGTGAACGGGATCGCGAGTCGGGAAGCAATGCGCACAAGAGGTCTGCGTCGGGAAACCCTCGCACCACGAGCAGGACGCAGGACGACCGCCACGTAGAGGAGAGGAGAACAGAGAGGACGTATGTGACCCAGCTGGAGACGCTTGTGCAGCGGACGCGGAGCCCTGAGAGGGGGGACCGCAGAGGCGACAAGGGCAAGCCGAAGGAGGACAAGTCCCGATCAGCCGAGACGAAGCCTAAGGAGGCCAAGGTCGAAACCCCGTCCGGTGAGATTGCAGTTTGCCGTCGTGATCGAGGGAATGCTCACTGACTTGCGCGTGCAGCACCGTGGAACCCAGAGGCGACGCTTCTCCCCCATACATCTGCCCCCTTGGCGTGTCGAATATCCATACCGCCATTGGCGTCCCAAGCGCCCCAGCCCCAGCAACCGAAGCCACTTAGCGAGCTGTCACTCGAGGCACAGGAGGCGGTCATGATTGAGGATCTGCTGTTCGTGTTCATGGGCTACGAGGGCCAGTATATCCGCTTCGCCAAAACGTACAACCCGCACGAGGAGAGGGATCGTCTTTCAGGGCCAACATTTAGAATATTGCCTGGCCTGGACCCGAGCCTGCAGGATCTGACGGCGTCAATGCTGAAGATGGCGACGTACTACTCTGCTCTCGAGATGTTCGTCGACGTGCAGAGCAGAGAGGAGTTTGGCGCCGTCAACCACGCGTTATGTGCCTCCGTGAGGAAGTTCCTTCACGACTATCTTGTCATGATTGCGCAACTTGAGACGCAATTTCTGACAAACGAGACCTTTACGCTCCACGTACTAAACATTCACACCCTGCCTACCAACCAGATGATGTCACACCTGTACTCTTTGGCACACGAACTGCTGAAGCGAAACGCACTCCTAGACGACGATGACGAGGAGGAAGAGAGCGACAGCGCGGACGACTTTGAGAACATTCTAGAGTCCCTTCGTGAGGGCGGCGATCTGGTGCCGGGATCGGGGAAGAAGATCTCCAAAGGCGGCGTCGTGCTCGGCTTGCTCACCAAGAGGCTGGAGTCCCTGTCAGGAGACCCGGCGGCGCGCGCACTACTGACAACGCTGCTCCGAGACTCCAGCAAACCGTACATGGTCATGCTGAACGAGTGGCTTCATCACGGCGGCATCAACGACCCGCACGCCGAGTTCCTCATCAAGGAGCAGAAAAGCATCCGCAGAGAGCGCCTAGAACAGGACTACACGGACGAATACTGGGAGAGACGGTACACCATCAGAGAGCACGATATCCCGCCTCAACTGGAAGGTGTCAAGGACAAGGTCCTGTTGGCAGGGAAGTACCTCAACGTGGTCAGAGAGTGCGGTGGTGTGGACGTCAGCAAGGTCGTCTCGGACGTGCCCAACTCATTTGACGACAGCCGTTTCCTGGAAAACGTCAACAACGCATACGCCCACGCCAACGAGTCCCTCATGCAGCTGTTGCTCACCACACACTCCCTGCCCGCGCGGCTGCGGTCGCTCAAGCACTACTTCTTCTTGGACCCGTCCGACTACTTTTCCTATTTCCTCGAGCTCGGCGCCTCGGAACTGCGGAAGCCCGTCAAGTCCGTTAACACCGGCAAGCTGCAGTCTCTGCTCGACCTGGTCCTGCGCCAGCCTGGCAGCATCGTGTCTCTGGACCCGTTCAAGGAAGACGTCAAGGTGGAGATGAACGAAATCACCCTCACAAAGTCCCTTCAGAGGGTCGTCAACATCACCGGTATCGAGCAGGGCGAGTCGCTGCAACCTCTGGCGAACCAGCCGGTCGAGAACGACAAGAACGCGATTGGCTTCACGTCGCTGCAGCTCGACTACACAGTGCCCTTCCCCGTCTCTTTGGTCATCAGCCGCAAGACCGTGTGGCGTTACCAGGCGCTGTTCCGCTACCTGCTCTCGCTCAGATACCTCGAGTCCCAACTGTCGACAACATGGCACTCGCAGACGACAGGCATGACGTGGTCTCACAAGAGCTCCTCGCGCAGCCTCGAGATTTGGAAGCGCCGGGTATGGACGCTTCGCGCGCGCATGTTGGTGTTTGTGCAGCAGCTCTTGTACTTTTGCACGGCCGAGGTCATTGAGCCCAACTGGGCCAAGTTCATGTCCAGGCTCAAGGTCAAGGAGGACGGCCAGGACGGTACTAGTACCACCGAGGGACCGACGAGGACGGTGGACGAACTGATGCAGGACCATGTGGATTTCTTGGACACGTGCTTGAAGGAGTGCATGCTCACCAACAGCAAGCTACTGAGGGTAAGTCACAGGGCGCTTCGCTCATCTCTGCGTGCCACACGACTAACAACCTGCAGATCCACTCAAAGCTGATGCAAACCTGCACAATCTTTGCGACATACTCCAACTGGCTCTCGCGTGAGCTGGAAAAGGCCGATCCAGACTTGTCCGGCGCCACCAAGCCGCCCAACATGACGCAGAAGCAGTGGCGCGCCTTTCAAGAGGTCCGCACACAGAAGCCTTCGGGCTCGCACAGCGAGTCGACATCGTCGGCGGGTGCCGGCGAGCAGCACGAGGCCCGCGTGGGCAACCTATTCGAGATCATGAAGAAGTGGGAGGGCAACTTTAGCAGGCACCTGCAGATCCTCCTGGACGCGCTGAATCACTACGCCGCCACGGAGACGGTTGTGCTGCTCAGTCTATGCGCGCGGCTTAGCACGGCCAACCAGGGGACCGAGTATGCGGGGTTGAGGAACGAGGAGGACAGCATGGCATGATTGTGCGTTCACGTTACATACCCTTCCATTCGAGGAAATCACACGAGACGGCGTTCTGGGGTTGGAGCAGACGGGGTCATCGTTCCAGGACGGCATCAAAAGCAGTCGAAAGGGGGAGGAGGGAAAGAAAGCGGCAGGGGCG